AATGCTGAGTTCCGAGCCTGCCACTCAGAGCAAGGACAAAACTCAAGGGAGAGAAATAATTAAAAAACAATGCGCTCTGCCAGGGCTTCCTACAAAGGACGCTTTTGAGAGGCACCTGGAAGCTTCCTCCCCACCTCCAATCCTCTCAGAAAGTCTCCCTTCTGGCCTGCCACTGATGCTTGAAAATTTACCGCTAGCAGTTCATGTCTTCTTGTTGTGGGAAGGCGTCTTCTCAGCTCTGGGCTGCAGGAATCACCGCTGGGGGCTTGAGCTCCTAGCACCTTAGCTCGACTCAGTTTTATCAGATGCGTGCTTCTCAGTGGGCAGTGCTGACTGGTGGCCTACTGATAAGAGCAAGGAGACACTAAAGAGAGGAAAAAAAGTGTTTGAAAAGCAACGGCTGCCTTCTTAACTGGTTTATCCTCATCTCTTGAGAAAGAAGAAAAAATAGAAAAATAGTAAGAGCGAGAGATCTCTTTCTCTCAGTGGAAAGTTTCATATATACAAAAGTAGAGAGAGGGGCCGACCTGGTGTCCTAGTGGTTAAGTTCAGTGGGCTCCACTTCAGCGGCCTGTGTCAGTTCCGGGAGCAGAGCTACACCATTCATCATGCTGTGCTGGTGGCCCACATACTAAAAAGTAGAGGAAGATTGGCACAGATGTTAGCTCAGGACGAATCTTCTTCAGCAAAAAAAAAGTAGAATAGTATAATGAACCCGCAGGTACACCACCCACCTTCAATACAAATTAGCTCATAATCCATCTTGTTTCAGCTATACCTCCCAGTCTCCCTCCACTTGGATTTTTTTGAAGCAAACCTAGACATTTTTTATTTCTTGTGCAGATATTTCAGTATGTATCTTTTCAAGATAAGAATTCTTTTATAAAACCACAATACCATAATGACAAATTAATGTCTTTACTATTATCAAATATTCAATCAGTTTTCAAATTTCGCCTATTGTCTCATAAATTTTTGGGGCTGGCCTGGTGGCATAGTGGTTACGTTCACATACTCTGCTTCGGCAGTCCTGGTTTGCAGGTTCAGATCCCAGGCATGGACCTACATGCTGCTTATCAAGCCATGCTGTGGCAGGCATCCCATACATAAAGTAAGATGGGCACAAATGTTAGCTCAGGGCCAGTCTTCCTCAGTGAAAAAAGGAGGATTGGCAGTGGATGTTAGCTAAGGGCTAATCTTCCTAAAAAAAAACCCACGTTTTTTAAGAATTTTACAGTTTATTTGAATCAAGATCTAAAGAGGGTCCATACCTTTCTATTGTGCCTGTCGATAAATCTTTAAGTCTCTTTGATCTATAGGAAAGAAAGGGAGGTACCTTGAAGACCAATTTCCTGTTTAAGTGAAAAAGGGTCTTACTGGAACAGAAATTGTATATCTTCTTACACATCTAATCTATAAGAGGAAAAGGTGAAGCGGGTTTGAAAACCAATTATGTGGTGTAAAAGAGGTAAGAGCAACATCAGTTACAGGCACATAGGTGAAAGTTTGCCATCCCCCCCACCCCCAGCTGTCCTCCTGTGCCAAGTCTGGCTCCAGAAGAGCTGAGACAAGAGCCATAAGATGAGTTTTATGCAATTAACTCCACCTTTACAGAAGCCCACTTAGCTTGCACCCTCTCATTTCAGAGTCCTGGGGAGAAAGGATTGCATTAGTCTTGGTTAATGGCCCAAATTAAGCCATCAAAACCCCTAATCAAGCCTCCATTTGGCGCCTGTTACAGTACTGTAAATAAAATATCCAAAGGAAAATAAAAGCCCTTCTATCTGAGGCTGGACAGAACTTTGGTCCCTGGAGTCACATCCCTGAGTTACAGTTTCTCTACGGAGGCTCAGGACGGGCGGGAACAAATCCCTGCTCCCCTGGGGAGACGCAGTGTTCGTACCCTCAAGTAAAGCTGGATGGAGCCAGGGAATATCCTGAAGGCAGAAAGAAGCCAGAAAATGCCCTGGCCTGCCCTCCAGCTTGCCCTTGCTCGCTAAACTGCACCTCCTTCCTCAGTCCACTCCAGTGGCTTCAGGTAAAGTTACGCAGGAAAGATAGTGAGAAGAAAAAGCATTCCGGCTTGGATTACAGGTGGCTGGCTCTCCACCATGCACCATCACCAGCTCGAAGCAACCTATTATTAAGAGATTAAAAGCAAGAATTCTAGAACCAGACTGCCTGTGTTGGAGTTTTGGTTCTACTGGTTCCTAGCTGTATGAATTTGGGCAAGTTATTTAACCTCTCTGTACCTCAGTTCCCTCATCTCTAAAAGAGAGAAAATAAAAATAGTAACCCCTCTAGGTTGTTTTGAAAATTAAAGGCATATATGTGAAGCTCTTAGAGTAGCACTT